TACATGCCTCCATTACATGTCTGCGAGGTGCAGTGGGGCCAGGCAGGAAGAAGGGCAAGAGAACTCAGAAGGGAATTTTCTCTGGGTTTCACTTTGCCCAAATCTGGGCGGCAACACCCGGGGTGAAGGACAGACCTAGATGATTAAACAACAACAACAAAGAAAAGAAACCAAACCCCTGCCGCTGAGCGGGTTGGTTCTGACGCCTATCCACCCTAGAGGGTTAGGTTTCTATCCATGGCGTCCAGAGGTCCAGCCCCACGGAAGGATCCGAACCAAACCCACTTCTGTTGAATTGGTTCCAACTCACAGCTTCCCCCGGGGATGGGACAGAGTGGGACAGAGCTGCTCCCTTGGGTTCGGATCAACCCCAGTGGATGCACCCCGGGCACACACACAGGAACGATTGTGAGGTTGGCACACGACCGGCCGTGTGTCCTTCTGTTGTGCCTAAGGTCCCGACGAGCCGTCGAGCCGCGGACCTTTTGGTTGGCAGCCGGTGGTGAACCACTGTACCCCAGGGATCTCTGATGGTACCCAACTGGCCCGTCCGCCGTGCCGGGGGTAACGTCTTCGGTTTTGTGACGCCAACAACCAGGAGGAATGGGAACCCCGTCAGCCTGTTTGAGATGACTGCCTGTCACGGGTCCAGAGCTTGGTGGTTCAAACACACCCAGGGGCAGGTGCCTTCAAAGACAGGCCTGGCGATCTGCTTCCCACAGTCACAACCTTGGAAATCATTGTGCAATGGTTCTGCTCTTCCCACAGAGGGCGCCGCGAGTCATCATGTTGTAAGGCCAACAAGCGTCCCCGGTGGGCGTCAGTTCACAATCACCCGGCAACAAGCCCTCCATTGCAACAAAGTTACAGCAGGAAGGCCAGACAAGTTAGTAACAGGACACACAGCTTGTCTCCCTGAGGGAATCTGTGCCCCTTTCTGTACAATTTTCCTGTTCATCAAGGAGGGGAGCCCATGGGAAAATTTCCCTGTCTTCTAATTCCACTTTTTGACACACACCCCGCCCCACCGCCATGTAAAACTGCTCTGAAAATATGAAGGCCCCTTTACGGGGTTAAGAACGTAGGGATGATTAGATGAATGTTGCGTGGTCGCAGTCACACGTCCGCATGACGTGGCAGTCGCATGGCATCTGTGGGTTGGTGGGGAAGTCCTGAATGGGAGATGCCTCGGGATGCGGGATGCTTAGAGTTTCTCCAGGCTTGAAGGAGCGGTGGACCTCAGCTGAGATTCTAAATTGAAAACGCCAGAGTTTCCTATGCCTGTCGATCCTTTTGGATTGCTTTAGAAAAGTGAATCTTACTCCTCTCCCACTATCACAAGTCTGGCTGGACCAGAGGATGTACACTGGTACACATAGGAACTGGAAACACAGGGAATCCAGGGCGGATGATCCCTTCAGGACCAGTGGTGGGAGTGGTGATACTGGGAGGGTAGAGGGAGGGATGGGGTTTGGAATGCGTGACTTTAGGAAGTGAAATACTATTACGACTGATACTACCACTGAGGAAGGACCACGCGCAGCCCTTCGAGACACAAAAACAGCTCTTGAAACACCAAGCGAGGAAGGGCTGGGCAGATGGAACACAAGAGTCACTGCCCTCCGAGCTGCCATGCAAGGCGGGAAAAGCCTTGGACCTTGGTTACTGCCCCGAAGGGTGTCAGGTCTGGATATGCCCTTTGACCCTATCTGCCCAGAGCACCCAATTCCATGGAGGGGGAAACTGAGACACAGAGAGGAGGGGGGATAACCACACAGGACATTAGAGTCTCCTGGCCTCCGCCCCACCCCCCAGTCCAGCTATCTAGTCACCCTCTCAGCTCCTTCCTCCCCAACGGGCCCGTCAGGAAAGTGAGGCCCAGAACTGCTACCGAGAACAGAGCACCCACTTCTGGGAGCCCTGGGGTCTGCTCTGGGCAGCCCACAACCCAGCCCAAGCTGGGCAGAGGCTTTTAACTGTGAGGCCCGAGATCCAGAGCCTGGGAGCATGAGGGGGGCAGCCAGCCAGCCAGCCACACACCAGAAGGCTATAGTCCCTGTCTGTCGGGGTCCCCAGGGACCAGACTCCCCCAAGCAGTGGTCCCAGTGTTGAAGCAAGGCAACCCCACCCAGTTTCCTGGAAGCAGCTCTGAGGTGGGGGCTCCGGGGCTTCCTCCTGGCCCTCATTCTCCCGGCTCCTCCTCCTCCATCATTTTCCCCATGGTCATTAGCTGCCACCGAGTCCACTCTGACTCCTGGCACCCCCAAGGAGTGGGAAGTACCCCGGGGGCTTTTGAAGACTATGATTCGACCCTGCGGGAGCAGATGATCAAACCCTTGGGATGGACGTCAAGGGCTTAACAGTTTGGGCAGCCCCACTGCCCTCTGCCCAGCTGCACATACGTGTTGTCACACTGAGTGCATGTTCTTTGTAACAGTCTGGGTTGTAAAAAAAAAAATGGCGGTGAACACAAATGTCTATTACAGGTCCCTGGAAAAGCAGATAGGGTCAAGGAGGCCCCCTGTAAACCCACTGGGGCTGATCTTGCCTCTGTGGGTCCAGGGGATGGGGGTGGGGGTCTGCTGGACCAAGACAGCCAGCACATGGCCTTCAGGCCACCCTGTTCC